AACTAGTAGGGATTGGGTTAGTAGGAGTTAAGCTAGTAGGGGTTCAAAATATAGGGATTATGTTAGTAGGGGTTCAAAATAGTAGGGGTTGAAACAGTAGGGATTCAAAATAGTAGAGGCTGAACTAGTAGGGGTTAAGCTAGTAGGGGTTCACGATAGTAGGGGTTTAATTAGTAGGGTTTAATTAGTAGGGATTCAAAATAGTAGGGGTTAAACTAGTAGGGATTAGTTTAGTAGGGGTTCAAAATAGTAGGGGTCGAATTAGTAGGGATTGGATTAGTAGGGTAAGCTAGTAGGGGTTCAAAATAGTAGGGGTTGAACTAGTAGGGATTGAGTTAGTAGGGGTTCAAAATAGTAGGGGTTGAACCAGTAGGGATTGAATAGTAGGGGTTAAGCTAGTAGGGGTTCAAAATAGTAGGGGTTGAACTAGTAGGGATTAGTTTAGTAGGGGTTCAAAATAGTAGGGGTTGAACTAGTAGGGATTGAGTTAGTAGGGGTTCAAAATAGTAGGGGTTGAACCAGTAGGGATTGAATAGTAGGGGTTAAGCTAGTAGGGGTTCAAAATAGTAGGGGTTGAACTAGTAGGGATTAGTTTAGTAAGGGTTCAAAATAGTAGGGGTTGAACTAGTAGGGATTGAGTTAGTAGGGGTTCAAAATAGTCGGGGTTGAACTAGTAGGGATTGAGTAGTAGGAGTTAAGCTAGTAGGAGTTCAAAATAGTAGGAGTTGAACTAGTAGGGATTGAGTTCAAAATGAAGTCACTTTCTGGACATATGGTACTGACATCCATGCCCATTTGAAGGACTTCAGCAAACTTCAGGACCATAAATCCACAATCTCCACTGAAAAATGTAAGATTTTTTTTTTAAATAAAAGGAAATCTGATACTTATCTAGTTAGAACCAATAAATGCAAAGTGACAAAGGATTACCCGTTTAGTTGTTGGGGGACATGTGGGACTACCTCAACCATAAATGGAACAGCCTGTCCAGGTATAGAGTTGTTTGTGGAAGCCTTCATTTCAGCTAAGATGAGGGGAAGAAAGTGAACCAGGCCTTGCATCTCCTTCTTAATGTTTGGCTTCATGGAAGCAAGTCTGTTGTTACTATCATACACCCGTAACTTACTGGCCTGGAGATCCAAAACAACCAAAACCCAATGCATTGACTTTATACTAAGGAAGAAGTACACATAGTCAGAGTCAGTCCATGGAAGAAGATGTTGGGTATGATCACCACACATTGCATCACTCAGAGATCCATCTGCGATTGCTCCTTTTGGATTACACTTACCAGATTTATAAGAAGCAAACAACTCATTTATACGCATGACAGTGTATGGACTAGCAGTAGAAATTTTTTGAGGGAAGTTGAATGTGGCAGCCTTCACACGGAGGTAAAATGAAATACACTCAACATGCTTCAAAGCAAACATAATCACTAGTCAAGAAAAAATAATTTTAAAACAAGTGAAATAAAAGTTATAGGTAAAGGAGAGAGCCATACAGTAGAGTCAAGCCATTGACCGGATTCATGAAGTTTATACAGCCATGATTTATTTTCAATGTCCAGTCCGGGATCAAGAACAAGCAGGAAATTTTTCTCATGTTCAGGCGTGTACTTGACTTTGGTTGACTGTTTTTTGTGTCCAAGTGTGACACCTTCCATGATATAATTGTAGAAACTAAGCTGGTCAGATTTGCATTTGAAAGTGCAAAATGGGTCACGACTGAATGGGCAAACAACACCCACATTTCGAATCTTTTTGTTTTTCCTTAAAGCACCTGAACCTGGTGTGTAACGAGATGGTGACTTAGCCTTTCGTTTTGGTCTACCTTGACCAAACTGTGCACCATCCACCTCAACAATGTCAACCTCAGGAAATGGGGCGATCTAGAAAGAAGATATGATTACATTTAAATGCAATTTGAATTTGACATACTGGGAAATACAAAACAAATGTGAGGTATATAGAGAAAAATATCACCTCATGTACAGACTTCACATTGGAAGGATCATGGGAAACACCATCTTGACATGTAACTGCCTACATTAAAGTAAATTTGGAATAAAATATGTAAATAAATGTATCGTATTAGAAAAAGAATATGAAATGTGAAATAACATAATCAAATCTAGAACATATACCTTAGAAGCATACATTTCAAAAGCAATGTCGAAGACTTGGGTCATACCCTTTTCAAATAACCCATCCGGATTGCAATCACTGACTACAGGCAATGCAACTGCTACAGAATCAGAACCAAAATTGAGGTTTCCAACTTCTTCTACAACATCGACTTTGCCTACTTTTACAGTCGCATCAATAATATGCTCAGATGCACACTGCTCCGGTGAATGTCTAACAGCTTCGTATGGCTTTGTTGTTGAGCTATTTATGAATTCATTGAACTTGGCAGACATGGCCTGTTGATCCATGATTAGTTGGGAAATTGTCTGATCTTGTTGTAGAGTTTTATCATGAAGCATTTTAATTTCTATCCTTTGCACAATCACCTCTTCTTCTAGAGCAGATATTCGTACAAGAAGAGGGGAATCTTTATCTTCTTCTGGAAAGGAAGAAGTATTATTCACTGGTGATTGCATAGTGACCTCTTCATCAAGCCTCAATACTCCGGGCAAATTCCTTGACTTGGTTTTCTTCGTGACTGGGGGCTCTGTTATTTTGATTTTGGGTGATTTTTTTGTTGGGGTTCTTTTGCTCATAATGTTCAATGGTGTTGAATCATTGCAGTTAGACAGAGCTTTTAAGCTTGTTATGATTGGGCTGAATACAAACTGAAACACAAAGATAATCAATTAATAGTTAGCAAGACTAGTAAAAACTAAATACAAAATGAACACATCATAATAGTTTGTATCTATACTAAGAGTGCATGAAACTGTATTCAATAACACAAAAAAGTAACTCACATTTTGATTAGAGAAAATGATTTCCTTGAGACATCCACTACTTGGTCTACCTGTAGAAGACCATCTTAAAATTCGTGGGTATGCATTTGGATCAACCAGTTGAGCAATAAGACCATCCTTAAGTGCTGGAAAGACCTCGTAAGCCCAAACTTGTAATGCCATAACACAACCATACACATTGTAATGTGACTGGTTGGTTTTCATAGCATTTACACCTACTTTAAAGTACTTAACCATGTCTGCCCATATGGCACTACCCCATGGGTAAGCATTAAAACGATCAAGGTCGTCCACTAGATTAATGTAGTACTTAGGTAGAGAAACTTGACCTTCTGCGGCTAAAAAAGCATGTGACAGAACATGAAGTAAAGACAATTTCACCATATCATCAGTTGGAACGGTACCTTGCTTGATACTCTTAAGCAAGTTCTTAATATCCTCCCGAAAAATGTTTTTCTTGCCACCAGGGAAATATTTTTGCCATAGAACACCATGTTCAGTTACATCAGGTAGCTTATCTTCAAAATTCTGATCATAGCCTAAGCCTAGAATCTCAGTGAACTCAGAAAATGAAAACGATATCAGCCTATTCTCAATTTCGAAGTGCATACACAACTTGTCATCATGTTCACAGTGTTCTAAATGAACCATGTTGCCTAACAATAAATGCAATAGTTGCCCACAACAACTCATCTCCTTAACATCTAGAAATTTACCAAACACCGAGCTCCTAAACTTTTCAAGTTGATCAGGAAGTAGTTTGGACTTGACAAGTTCAATTGAGTCATAAACCCTAGAGAAGGTGTTAACTCTCCTGCGAGATATTTCTTTATAAACCAGTGACTTTTGTACAAACCGTTCATGTTTCTGGGAAAAAAATGCAGCAAAAATGTGAGTACAGAGTATTAGGCAAAAATGAAGATTCAAGTGTAGGTAAAAGATTGAATAAACTCACAACATCAGGCTTATATGTCAATGATAAGCGCGACGACGAGCGTCGTGACAGTTTATTGGAAGGATCAGATGTGAAATCACTGTCCGACATTTCTAGAATACAAAGAAACTTGAGTTAACAGTAGTAGAACTCACATATTTACATGATAATACATAGTGGCAGCATGTCAAATATATGATAATTTATAACAAAAATGTTAATCTAAATACTTAAATACAAAACAAGAGTGACCAATTCACATAATAATTGTCAACCACATTTTCCTTAACTTATATAACTGCAAGACATAAATAAAAGAAGTAAAATAACAGGAACATAGAAGCACTGGTAAACATTAACAGAGTATTACTGCTTGAAATGATTGAATTCACAAAAACATAACAAAGGTAAACATAACAGAAATACGAAGTATTCAAAACATATACAGACGCTCAATGCAGTGCATTTGATTCCGTGAGTGAAAAACCCTAATATATACACCAGTTAAATGCATTGCAATTCATTCGGTGCACAAAACAAAAACAAACAATCAAATTGATAAATCGTTTAGTTCACAGTTATTGTGAAGGAAGAAGTGTTTACTAACCAGCAAAACAAATGTAGAGTACAGAGCTTCCAAAAACGGAACAAGGTGCGAACGATTGAAGAGAAGTAACGACAATCACAGATGAAATGCTGAGAAAAGGAATCGTATAGCATATGAATTTGATGAAGGAGATAAACGAACAAAAATCGAAACAGAGTGTAAGAGGGAAGAAGAAAGACGCGCACAAATACGGACGAAGAACGACAAAACGAGGACAATTTTGTCAAATCACAATAAACGGCTGCGTTTTATTCTTTTTTGCGATGAGATCGGTGGGTTTTATGGAAAAGTAGGAAAAAGGTCCTATTTTTGACAAAACTTATTGTGGGGGTATTATTGCCGTCATTTTTTCTATTATTAATTCGGGAAGGCGTTCAAATGAATTCTTGAAGATAACTGCGCAGTTAAAAGTGCAGTCATATTCAACAATTTATTTGAATACCTTCCCGATTAAATTGTTAGCTAAATTTTGGTACGAGTACATGACATATACATTGTGCCATTGTCGCCCTTTCTTCTGGAGAGGGGCTGTTCTTCCGTCGGACAGTACAAAATTTAAAGTATAAACACAGTGAGTGGCTGCTACTCTGCTAGCCAGTGAGGTCCCAAAATCTAATATAGGCAAAGGAAAACAAGGCACTCTACTCAATAAAGTTTTCGACTTCACGAATGTAAAGTTGCTCCATTTTAGAAATCCAAACTGAACGACAAAATTGGTGCTTACTTTTGGCATGTCCCCATCTTCTTTTCCACATTTGTGTTGGAAATTAGAGAGAAATATTGATACGTATATTAGACGAAGTGATGCGGACAGAGTGTGAGATCACCCCTAGGGTCAAACGCTGCAGTATCCACCGTCCGATCACCCATCCGCCGAAAGACTTTCTCAACTCGGTACATGTGTTCACTGCTGTTTTTTTCATTCTTGTGTTTACGAGGTACTGTTTATTTGATGCAAAATTTAACCTTTTTATTTATTAACTGCTTGATCTGTCGTTCTAGCTCCTACATTCTTGGAATGAAGAACGAACGCTAATTAGAGGTAACTTGCTGCTAGTTACTTGTATAGCCGATTACATCCCTTCATCAGTTTGAAAAGATTGAAACTTTGCATAATTTGTTTGAAATGTGAAACATAATTCAAGAACCAATGCATTTTTTCCATTGCATTCATTACTTCAGTCATTGACTAAATGTTGGACTTGGTAGGCTTATTACCCAGGGGACTGACCGTCTGCCTCTCAGGCTGACCGTCTTCCCCTCCAAGGCTGAGTGATTTCTTAGCGGCTGAGCGGATCCTTAGCAGTTCGGTAAGGCCTAAAATGGTTGAAAGGGGTTGAATTGGCGGAAATCGCTGAAGTTGTGGCTGGCATTGCGGAATTGAATTCAATTGCTGAAATGTGAAAAGGGCTTAATTGAAATCTCAGATAATTAATCCATTTCAGTAAAATGTACCTCTAATCTTTGTTTTTCTCATTATTATCCAATTCATCATGTGGAGTCAAGAAGTTAGCATTTGAAACTACAAAATGGCAATCTACTTCGTCATAGCCAAACATTAATCTCTGTATTTATTAGCCATATTCATATTACTTAACAATTATATCCATTAGCCCTACTGATAGGGGGCCTACCCAAGTACCAAAATAAATCGGGCGTAGTATTGTTATATTTGGGGTCCTTCATTTTTAGCATAATATATTCGTTTATGCTCGTTTTCTTAAGGATGTTATATGTTCATGTTTGTTTTTTTATTGTTCTAGAAAGTACTCTTTAAAAAAAACAAGTGAGCAAAGCCACAAACAATAAAAAAGATAAACAAGCACCATTCTGAATATTCACATCAAATCACATAATCAGATTTTAAAGACTTGGTACAAGATATAGTCCATGGTTGTTGATGATGAAGAGAAGAACTCGAAGCTATATTGTCCGGCATAAAAATCCGTATGAGCACAGTACTGTTTAAGTTTTGTTTGTTTATCAAACAAGCTCTAAAGTGGCTCTAGTTTATGTTCTTTTACCCATTAGTTAAAAATCCGTATGAGCACTATGTTCATTTACAACCCGACCTATCGATGTACTCCTTACATTATAAAAGGGGGCTCCGGGCTTGAAATAATCTTCATTCTTACATGCTCACTCATATTCATATATGCTACACAGCAATACAAGGTTTTCTCAACTATTCAAATTCCAAGTGCTTGACTTTATGCTTCGGCTTCCCATTTTCCTTCCTTATTATATGCAAAATTGTATTGGAGTACTAATTATAACAGGTATATGTGAAGTTTAGGTGAGTTGAGATGGGCACTCTGTACAACCTTGCCGCTGAGAACTTAAAGAATAATGCCTCAAACACATTGCAGCACGAGAAATGTGAAGCTCATTGGCTTTTCAGTGGTGAAACTGCACTTGGTGATGCTTTACGTGCCTTTTTGTATTTCATGGGTCTTTTCTATTGTTTCATTGGCTTGTCAGCCATTACCTCTTGTTTTTTTCGGTCCATGGAGAATGTAGTGAAGCATACTCGAACAGTGGTGGAGACGGATCCAAGCACGAACACCAAAGTTGTCAAGAAGGAAAAGGTTTGGAATTACACAATTGCTGACATCACTCTGCTGGCCTTTGGGACTAGCTTTCCACAGATATCATTGGCCACTATTGATGCAATACGAAATATTGGACAATTATATGCCGGAGGTATTGCCAAATTTTTTCTTGTTCCTGCTAGGTTCAAGTCTATTTACCTTGTATTGTTAATATAGAAGCTATAAAGTATCAACAGCAGTTGGATTCATACTAAAAGATCTTCCTGATAGGAAATGAACAGACGAATAGTATTCTCTTGCCTTACATATATTTTTTCTGCACAATTAATTGAATGGGAGCCTTAGCGCACCGGTTATGGTGTTGCTGTGTGACCGTGAGGTGTGGGTTCAAGTCTTGGAAAAAATGACAAGGGAAGGCTTGTTTCTTATACACCTTTGTGGTGGACCCTTCCCTGGACCCTCGCCTGGCGTGAATGCTAATGTGCACCAGTCTGCCTTTTTTTATATAGTTTTTGGCACAATTGATAATACATTTATTATTTTTTGGCTTGAGAATATGATGGAATAAAGAAAAATGGCTCACTAAACTGTCTGCGCTTCTTTGATATGAAGCAACAGTCAGTCCATGCAATTTTGGACGCGATTTTCACTATGGGTCATCCGGAAACAGTCTCTCTGTGCTTTAGTACAGGGGTAAAACTGCGTACATCCGACCCCCTCTTACCCCACCGTATGTGGGAGCCTTTGTAGCACTGGGGTAAATGAAAATGATGATCATACATTTATTTTTTGTTTGTATACCTATAATAACAGGTTTGGGTCCAGGAACACTTGTTGGTTCTGCAGCTTTTGATCTGTTTCCTATACACGCGGTTTGTGTTGTGGTGCCTAAAGCTGGTGAGTTGAAAAAGATATCGGATCTGGGGGTCTGGATCGTAGAACTTTTCTGGTCCTTCTGGGCTTACATTTGGCTCTACATCATTCTAATGGTAAGCACAAATTTCATATCTCGTTCTATTTTATCAGTTACCAATTTCAACCTAAAGTCTTAGGGGGTGTTTGGAACTGATTCTGTTTCTGCTTCTTTTTTAAAGCAGAAGCAGAATCAGAATTAGTTTTCAGAAGCTGGTCTCCCCCAACTTCTAAAAAAACTGATTCTAGGAGTAAATTAGAGCACCTGAATCACTTCTGCACTTTCACCCAAACACTCCAACTTCTGCTTCTGCTTCCTGAAGGAGCAAAAGCAGTTTTAAGAATCAGATCCAAACACCCCCTTATTAACCCATTATTTCTTTAATTTTCAATTTTGGGATTCTAACAGGATAGTTTTAATTTTTCTGATGTTTGTAGGTATGGACTCCAAATGTTGTCACCTTGTGGGAGTCTTTGTTGACGGTTCTCCAGTTCGGGTTACTTCTGATACATGTGTATGCTCAGGACAAGCGCTGGCCATATTTGTCCCTCCCTTTGTATGATTTTGTCGTGTAACGAATCTCTTTGAAGTTCATTAACAATTCAGATTTTATTGAGAACAGTTTGTTTTAATTAATTTAAGTAGATCTAATCATAAGTCATTGCTTATCAGGGAAAGGTCTGATAGGCCAGAGGAGTGGGTTCCTCCTGTAGAGGGTGCTACACATGGGCTTACGGTTCAAGAGGAGTGCTCAGAATCACTCAATGATGGAGATGATGAAAATAGGGAAGTTGTTGATATTTTTTCCGTCCATTCAAGGCACAAGACAGGTAATTTCTGAAAGCAAGAACTTTCATTTTAGATTTGAATAATTTGTTACTTGATTACTTCTAGTTATCACTAATTTGAAACTATAGTATAATGATACTCTGGGCCCATCTAGTAAGAGTTTTTTAGGCTGAAATGACTGAATTTGCGAGAGGAAAAGCACTGGGTAAGTTTTTTTATCAGGATTAAGGAAAAATTAACTATGTACAAGCAAAATGAATATAGTCTTCTTGGTAACTTCCTCTGCTTTGAGTTATTACCTTTTCTATATAGTATACTAGTAGTATATAAGCTCTCTTTTGAAAGAATGACTTTTACAGGTCATGCTTATCAAATATTGCCTGGTGCAGATGTTGCTGAATCATCTGCAGAGCTGTACTTCGACAAAACAGCTGTTAATGAATCTGATATCATCACAATCTGGAAGCAACAATTTCTCGCTGCGCTTGTACTGTTCTTCCCTCTTCCTTTTTAAGGGTCTGCTTTCCAAAATTCGAGGGAAAGATAATACTCCATCCATCCCAGTATGTAAGATACATTGGAGTTGGCACGAGTTTTAGGAAAGTAAAGGAGATACTACTTTTATTCAAGAATTAAGATGTAGTATAAAAGCAGTATGGGTCTACAAAAAGTAAAATGTGAAATGATAGATAAAAGAATAAAGTGGAAAATTAAAAACTTAGTTAAGTTCAAAGTCTTAAACTAGGAAAGTCTTCATGACAAGTCATAATGAGAGTGCATCTTACAAAATGGGATAGATGGAGTAGGAAAGAAAACATAGAAGAGAATTGGAAAGAAGGGAAAAAATGTCGAGGAAAGTAAAAGAAAAGCTAAAACTTTCTAAATGGATCTTAAGTATTTGTTGATACTCATTTTATTTATTTATTTCTATTATGAAAATGAGGCAAATATGGATTTTCATCCTTAGCTTTCATTTTTCACGTTTTGGTCCCACGGCAGAGGTTTTTAATCACTTTTGGTCCTTCTGACCACTTATTGAGTTAATTTTCATACAATTTCCAGTTGAAGTTTACCGGGCAAGCGGCCTCAAAAGAACCACAAGTGAAAAAATGAATGTTGGGGATTAAAAGTGGTAATGACCTCATAGTTGTGGGGACCAAAAGTGAGATTTTCGTCTATTATATAGACTGAATCTAAAACTATGCACATTTAGATAAAAATAATCACATTTAATTTTCCTATGCATTTTCAAAGCTACAGAAGAATGCAAGGAAGTAACTTTATTACCCCCTTCCCCTGTAGCATTGTCTACGATCCAAACATACCCTTAGTGGTGGGAGTATCATTCAACCATGTATGTCCATAACAAGAGGATGCTATAATATTAGCTGTACCCTCTCTCCAGATGACTGAAAATGTTTTTTGTTGTATCATGGGTCTTGATTATCTTCATTTCATTTACAGAAATGCTCAAGTAGTACCAAACTTTCATATTCCTAGTTTACCACCTTTTTATTTAAGTTTGCTTTGTGTGTTGCTTTTGGCTCATATTTATATCCTTCAATTCAATACGGAGCAGTTAGAACATGCAACATCCAGGAAACTGGATAACATGTGCCTTCGGGCCACACGCTTTTCATGGAAAATACTCCAACTACCATGGCGGCTTCTCTTTGCGTTTATACCTCCCTGTCAGGCTGCCCATGGGTGGCCTTCCTTCATATGCTCTTTAATCTTCATTAGTGGGATAGCATATGTCGTTACACAACTCACAGACCTAATAAGCTGTGTTACAGGTTTTCTTTTTACTTGTTCTTTTTAAATTTGAAAAGTCTACACTACTTTATTTGAGAGAACTATATGAAGCAATAGGTGTTATGATGACTGCAGGAATTAGTCCTTATGTCATTGCATTCACAGCATTGGCGGCTGGAACTTCATGGCCTGATCTGGTAGCTAGTAAGATTGCTGCAGAACGTCAGTTGACTGCTGATTCAGCCATTGCTAACATCACTTGCAGGTCACCTACAAATTTTGAATCAACTCTTTTTTCGGGTAAAATGCATTGGTTGGTCCTGTCACTGTAGGAGGCTGGTGACATTAGTCCTCGCACTTCAGAATGAAGTCATGGGTAATTGAAAAGTCCACCAAAATGTGCCAGTTTCAAAAGGGGGATTCAGCATATTGGTGCTAGACAAATTAACAAGTTAAAGCTTAAAAAACTTTGTAAATGCATGTTTTAAAAAGTTGCTAATTCCCTGTTTTCTTTATTCAAAAAAATGAGGGGGGTTGACATGAATATATTACTGAAGGAAAAGCTAAAGGCTAGGAGTGATTACTTTTGAAATATTTACCAGAAGTAGTAGATCACTTTTTATCTATTACTAAAGGAAAAGCTAAAGGCTAGAAATGACTGCATTTTTAATACTTACCAGAAGTAATTAGTTAGCTCACTTTTAAAGTTTTAATATATTACTAAGGGAAAAACTAAGCTACGACTTCTCAAATATTTACCGAAATTGACTAGTTACGTCACTTTTTACATTAAATGGTACTCTGTATGACCCAATCCCAGTGGCACCGGCCTACCTATCATTGTAACCCCAAACTGGCGGCGGCGCGGTGACTATTTTGGTTGATTTTTCCTGCCACTTTCCCAATTGGCAGCCGTTCCCTGTAATGGTTTGGTGATTGTTTTGAATGAACTTAGACATTTTAAAATTTAATAAAATTGTCACTATACAACCAATTCGTCATATCCTGGTTTGAACTGTGTTCGGTTAAAAATTGCAACTATCCGTGACTTCAGGACCACATTCTGGAGTCTAGACATTTTGAAAGTAATGAGCCTAAAATCAACATTGCCAAAATAAATTCTACCCGTGCAGTTCTGGAAACCCCCTCTAATGAGGGACCAAAGATATTGCATTTTCCCCTCTCTGGTAGGATGGACTTATGTATTTGGTTTTGCAGCAATTCGGTGAACATCTATATAGGCATTGGCGTTCCGTGGCTGATTGACACGGTCTACAACTTCTTTGCGTTCAAGGAGCCGTTGTATATACAGAATGCCAGGGGGCTAAGCTTCTCTTTGCTAATCTTTTTTGCTACTTCAGTTGGGTGCATTGGCGTGTTGGTGTTTAGGCGAGTCACTTTAGGTGCTGAGCTTGGAGGTCCTAAATTATGGGCCTGGGTGACGTGCGTGTATTTTATGTTTCTCTGGCTTATATTTGTTATACTGTCTTCTCTAAGAGTTTCTGGCATTATATAAAAAGTTCCAAGTGTGATATCATAGCCACTTTGTTTTTTGGTTAGAGCTTAATGGCTTAAACGCAGTACTAAAATTAGGATCAACATCAGATTTAAATAAGCATGGAGGTATACCATACAGAACCTTCGATATCATGTACAATATTGTATACAAAATCAAACTAGGGCATTTTAATGAAAAAGTACCCATATTGTACCAGAATTCCAGAAAGTTTTTATACTGTTTTATACTGTCTCATTAGGGTTGTTGTGGTGTTGAAAAGTTTATACTAGAAAACTAAAGCGTCATATTTGAATATAATTTCTTACCTGTTTTCACCATTGATTAACTTGTGTATTTATAAAAAACATTACCAGAATAAATTCAAAAGTGATAATAATAAATGTGCCATAATTAAAAAAAAAGTAATAAGGAAACTATTACTAGTACAATGTTATTTAAAGGCCATACTTCAAACCCTTAAAAAAAGACCATTCTTCAAACTTGCGTATTTAGAATAGAATAGTTCCTTCTGATACTATCATCCCAGCATGGAATTATGAAATCCATCATTCATCAATCTAAGCTTTATAGTTGGCTAGTTGTGAATAATAATGTACAACCATCCATTTCAATGTTTATGCTATTAACTGAAAGGTAATTTCAAAAATCAATGTTTGTATACATCTACAACTCGGTAGTATGTGGTATAAATTGGCATTACATATTTAGATTCCAATAGTATCAACCGTAACACTTGAAACAAAATTTAGTGGTGTAATAGTCTATAGTACACATGTTGTTTAAATTTGGAGTGTACCAATCATTAATGATATGATATTATATTGCACAATATTCAGTAGTTATAAGAATTTCATTTCAAATATATTATCCGAAACAATTAATTATACAATAGTCTCATCTCAATTAACATCATTGTACAACAATTATTGATTAAAGATTAATGTTATAATCAACAGAATTTAATACACAATATCTGATCTGAGTAGCAAATTAAAAATATAATAAGAATGTACAAATATGTTACATCAGATTTAAGGTGACAACTCCAGTACCTTTCTAAAATATGGGGTACCGTACCTATCATTCATTTGATTGGACCATATCATTTTATCATTTTTAATTTAGATTTAAATAATTCAACTGCTACATTCTCATTGGTCCATGTAGACAAAGGTATGGTACCTTATGGGTACCATAAAATCTACCGAGATTTAATTGGTTTAATGGTGTTACAATATTAGCACGTTGATGTAGGATGCTTTTGAAAATATGAATCTCAATCACTAGAAAAGAGTCAAGCTTTATAGAAACAAAGATTCATTTCTAAATAATTAGGTTAAGTGTGTGTATAAATCGATAGACTAAAATCCATAATTTTAGTTATAAACCTTATTCAAAAACATAGTTAACACTCTCTATCCGTCCTACAAAGAAATAATAATAGCCCCTAATATTGTAAAAAATGTTGAATTTTACATCTCTTTTACATAATAAGCGCATGCATATCACATTAAACATTATAGGAAGTTTTTCAAGTTAACATCCTTACATCCTAATTCGTAAATAATTTTTGGAATTTTTCAAGTTAACATCCTCACATCCTTAACATGTGTTGGCTATCCATAAAAAACCTAAAGATACAATGTAGACTCGGATTATATCTAAAATTTAGCTTATAATACCTCAATTACTGGTGATAGAGTGTATAGACTTAGATTGACGGCCTGACCTTTCTCTATATATATACTCCCATTGGAAGATATGTAACCCTGATTCATACGGAGTAATATAATGCATAATTCATACACTACACTATTCATCATCTTCTTCTCTATTTGCTCTCAATCTCTCCTAAATTATATTGTTTGGATATCCTAATATTTATAGCCTTCTCGGACTTAAAAATATGGAAATGAAGAACACCTATTTAAGCACGGTTTGCAATATTTTGCTTTTAGAATATTAAAAGTGGTATGTAAAAGTAAATCTCATTAATTAATTACTTTAAAACTGAAAATTGGAAGTACTCAGAAAGATGTTTGAAATTGTTTTTCCCAGAAAAATATTTTTCCATCAAAAACTCTAACTTATATTCTTTCAAAAATCAATTTTCTTTTCGAATTACTATAAACCATTTTTATACTCCGTATTATCATACGCAGTACTCCGTATAAGCTAAACAAAGGCATTTTTTCAAGCTTCTTAAAAAAAGGCATTTTTTAAAGCTAATGTCTGATATTGAACCAATTTTAAAGTGACATGGAGCGACAAGTCATCGTCATTATACTTTGGCTCCTTGAATTGTTCATACCGGAAAAACTTGCCGATGGAGAACTTGATTGCTTCCCGATTTGGATTATGTACGAGTCTTTTCCCTTCTCGGTTGCCGTTATCCTTCTCCTCAATGAACATGAATTTTCTCATTTCCACCGCAAAGGCGAACCTTCGTGCTCAGTCTCAGCAGAATGATCCCTTTTTCAAAGCCGCCTTCGAACGCGCAGCTGCACGCTTCAAAGAGTCTCAACGTTCAGGCAAGTCTATACACCATCCCTGAACTCTTATAGGCTCATTACATTTCGTCTGTTAGACTATCAGTGTAACTGCTCGTTGAGGCATTTCGTCGAACAGCTTGTGATTCCGAACGTGATATGTATGACGCATTGCTCAACTCTATGCTCAGTCTGCTGTTTAAAACGATTGCCGTGATGAATATAGCTTCCTTTTGTATCTGTTAAAATAAAAAAAACGGAGCTTATGAGTTATGACTGAGCGTAATTATTATTACATTGTAGATCCTTTGTTCATTGATCCATATGCTGGCTGCCTTCTTCCGGTTAAATTTGATGTTCTTAGTGAACAACGCCTGCTACCTTACTGCCTTGCAACTAAGTTTATCGATGATACGCTATTGAGCACGTTAGATAAAGTTGATGGTCTGAAACAGGTATAAGAAAGAAAGCTCAATCCACTTGGTAATATAACACTGCACTTGTATATGTACAGTACCTTGATGCTGCAGGTTGTTTTGTTTACGGATGGGATGGATACTCGTCCGTTTAGACTGAATTGGCCAGCATCAACCATAATATATGATATATCTCCAGAGGAGGTGTTTAGAAGTGCAACTGAAAAGCTTCAAGGTTCTTGCTTCTTTTTGCCTTTTGCCTATGTTATCTGCTGCTTTTGTTTCTCTCAAAATTAGTAAGAATTGTTCTAATAAATATCAGATGTTGGGGCTAAGATATCAAGGAGATGTGTATTTCATCACATCCCATTGAATTCATCTAATCTACAACACATGTTGGGAAGTAAAGGTTTTAATGGCACCAAGCCAAGTATTTGGGCTTTCCAGGTAAATGCTCTTGTGTAGTTCTGTACCTTATGACCATTTCTGAAATCTTTGTAGAATTTGCGCGACTTTGTATAAAACTAAAAAGGACAATTAAATTAAGAAAAGTTTTGATTCTATAAGTTTGTATACTTAGATTTGGTATTCTCTTTGTGTCTGCCAATTTCACATTCAGTGAATGTTAGATTGTCATAACAGTTATTCAAATCAATCGCATTGTCCCTTTTGTTGGGTCTCATCATGATATCTCTGAATCTCTGATCTTCAAGTTTTAATTCACGCCTCGCCTATAGAATTAACTGTAAAAGAACATGGATGAATATGAATATGTAAATACTATGCTTTACAGGGACTGCCAGTAATGAACATGGAGAGCTTTAAAGATATTTTGCGCGTCGTAAGTAATTTGGCCATGAAGGGAAGCTTATTGTTGGGGGAGCTTCCTATTTGGCTGGGTGAAACTGATTTCAGGTGTAAGGTTAGTGAACAAGATCTTTGATGTGCATTTATTTTCAAACTACACTTGTTGCGCGCTCTCTCATTCTTGATTACACAATAGTCCACCACGAAGAGATGTTTGGAAAGCCTTTTCATGAGCTGCGGTTTCCATGTGGAAGTGATAGAGTACAACGGATTACTAAAGGAAGAGAACGCTAACATAGTTTTTGTTGCAGACCATCTGAGGTTTTCTGATGATCAGGTACTGCTATACAAAGGTTCCCATTGGTTTAATTTAGCATTATATATAGTTTTCCCCCCTATAATCTATACTATACACAGATGGAAATATGGAGGAGAGAACTTCAGAGGATTGAGGAAGAAGGAGATGAAGATGGCTTTGAGGAGCTCTAGACTTGTGTTACCCAACCAAAGATATTCCTTTGAACTGGTAAGCGTAACTGTTTAAGGCTTTAAGCAAAAGATTTTTTGTAAAATGATCAGTTCTATGTCCAAACTTGACAGTTGACACCATTTTGATACTTGGTGCTTGAACGCGTGAAAATGATTCTTTCAATTGACACTTTAACATAATCACATTTAAGAATAACTTTGAATACTCAGAAAAAAATGGACTTTATTTAATTATATCTGTACTGATCAAGTAATAAAGGAAGTAGTTCTTATAAAAGAATCTAAAAGCACAATTCTTCATCAGGAAACAATAGAAAAATCAAGAAGAATATACAAGGCTATGAAGATTGGATTCCCTGCTCAGACAGCTAAATCCACAGCCACACTGGGGGCAGACATAGAAATTGTCAACTGAAAATGCAGCAGATGTTATCCCAACAGAGAAGTTCAGATTTTCACCATCATGAGTGACCTGCACTATATTCAGCCAGAAAAGCATTATTTTCACCTGCACACCACCCAAGTTACTCAGTCTGCCCTTAGAGATTGTCCCTGTGATCTTGTTACTGTACTTTAGGGTATACCCCTTTATGGTGAAGCTGCACGACCCGTCAAAGTATGCTGCGAATTTGCCGGTGTCTTTGTTGATCTCGTAGCTCTTGACTCCCGTTGGGAGAATGCCGATGGGAAAGTCATATTCCTGCAATATGTCATACGCCGTCTCCAAGCCGTGAATGGCCGGAGTGGTTCCCAATAATAGTGCATAGCAGGCGGCAATAATGCATAGTGGCGGATGATACATTTTTCCGCGGTGAATAAAGGCGGCGATTTGGAGAGTGTTAGGAAAGTCGATCTCTTAGAAAGGATGTTTGTTAGAGACATAAAGGGGTAAGCTTAAAAACTTGACAGATTGGTATTCCACATGCTAATTGTAGTTATCCCGTCAATTAATTAATTACTTAAGTACTATAAAAGAAGTCCAA